GCATGGTGAAGTATGGTCACACGGTTCCCCATGATTGACGCAGCATGGGGAGGCCTTCATCTGTCAATGGATTCACAAAGGGCCGTAACTTATTATCATTCATTACATTATATTACACTGGTCAACACACTTTTTCTGGCATAAGCTATTCCAATGGTTTTAAGGTAATTTTGGGGTGCTGATTACAAATCTGGCATCAGTTTTTGTCTATCACATCAGGTTTTTGAGATATAAAATATTGCATTTTCAATAAAAACTGCAGAAGAATAATATTAAATAAATGTGGATATCTACATAAAATGATATTATAAACAGACTATCCTAAAAATACAGCACCATATTTTTACATTGCAGTCACTGACTCGCAACAACTTGCAATCAATGAAAATGGGGTATGCCGATAGCATAAAAATGATGTGATAGAGCAAATCTGAGATCAGATTTGGGATCAGCACCCTGAAATTAGTCTAAAACAGCTGCAAAAGTCCAGGCCAGAAAAAAATGATTTTATTTTGTTGACCAGTGTTATCAAAGTAATAATCACTAAATGACAACGTGGCATATGAAATCTGAAAAAAATTTTGGGTACGTACAAATGTGATAATTCACCTCTCAAACCTTGCCTCCAGCTACAGGAGCGTTGTCCTGCTGCCATTGCAGGTCATAAGTAACCGCAGCGCGTGCAACAGCGTGCGCCAGTCACCAGTCACCGAGCGCCCGTGTCGTGATGCAGCCAAGGGTCAACCAAGGGTCATGGTCATTACACCTTTACAGTCGGTGACGAAGGACTCCACCTTGGCCACGATATTGCTCAAGGGCATTGCAGTAGTCCGCCTGCAAGTCCTTTGTCTCTGTCATTGGCGCACACACACGTAATGTTGCTCACAAACAAATGAATGGGGATTTCGCATTCTGTTGAACAGTACAGAAAACTAAGAATGAGTTTTACCATTTCTGGCAATAAAAAACAGGAGGTGTTAAGATGTTAAAACACCAAATAGATGCCTTTTGTAAGGAATAATGTCTGCAATAACCACACATACTTTTGGTGAACATGCAGACAAACATGCTCTGATAATATTATGCATTGTCTTTGAAACTGATTGGCTTACACCAGAGACAGTCCGTTTCAAAGACAATTAATATATTATCAGAGCATGTTTTGTTTGCATTTTCACAACAAGTACATGTGGTTGATGCAGACTTGATTCCTTGCAAAAGATGTTTGAACATCTTAACATCTGTTTTAACATCTTCACACCTGTTTTATTTCCAGAAATGTTTAAACCTATTCGTATTTTTCATACGTTGATTCTGGCAAATAAGGTCCCATGATAGTACACACAAAAATATGCAGTGGTCATTTTACGTGTACTTCCATTTAATCGTCCACACCATTCTATAACCAACCCTCGCTTGTTTCCAAGGCAGACATTCTTTATTTTAAATATTGGACTATAGTAGCAGAACTTATTACAAATCAAGACAGTTACATAAAGCCCACAGCCTTGCACCGAATAAAAGTTTCAATTTTACTGATGTGGGAAGCCACATAATTTCATATTCAGAAGCCTTCAGCCACTATTGATCGAGACAAAAAAGGCAAGCCTTGAATGGAAGTGCTTTGTGTAAATGAAAGGCAGAGTTTCGGCCTTCCTTTATACGCGAGTGAGCGAGCGAGCGGGTTAGTGAGCCGGCCGCAGCCACACAATGAGGGTGCAAGAGAAGGGGAAGAAGGAGGGGGGGGGGGCACATCACAAAGAACTGGGGGTGCTGGTCCATGTTGCGCCTATTGAGTAACCCTGACGGGAGTATATAGAAATTTGGAATAAAAAAATGTCATGTTCTTTTTTTTAAAGGGTAGGGTTTGTGTTGCAGTCTTTTCTTAAATGCAAATGGCTCGCGATTTAGGTGTTTTGGGAAGTGTTTGTGAATCTGATTGTGGATTCTGTGTGAATGCTGGTGGCAGCAACTGGATGACAATGGTGTCTACATGTGGCTGTGTTCTGTATGCTGGAAAGTGGCACTTTGCACTAGCAGGCTTCTGCTCATCTGGCTTAGTTGCGCGATGAATAGAGCGCCTGACTCGCAAAGGAAAGCCCACAAGTTTTATTCCTGGCTGGGGTTCACTTCACTTGCTGTCCCCTTCTGGGTCGTTAAAATGTACTATGGAGATTATTGCTCATCCACTAGGAATGTGAGATTTTCATCTCTGGCTCAGGACTACCGTCAGAAATAAATGCTGCACTCTGCTTGCTTGATCATGAGACACTTTGGATTTTTTTGTATAAGAATTTACATTATCTATTTATGTATGTTAATATTCCAAAAAACTCCACTATAAGCCAGCTTCTGTGAACATGATGTTCGTTTACCAAAATATAAAAACCCATCCAGAGTGCCACACAAAATTATTTCGAATATGAAGATGGGTTTTGTGAGTGACTTGCAGCCTATGCTTAGTGATTTAAGCTGCGTGTGAATTGCAATCTTGATGTCATTCTATTTAAGGTTTCAGAGTTATTTCAGATGTAATTCATTTTTTGTTTCATGCTGATGGAACTATGCATCATAGCTGAGTAATAGTTTATAAACCAGGGTTTTATTGATACAATTTTGTTCATGCTTAAACAAGAAATTAAGTGTCACATTTTCTTTTGTGGCCATGAGCTGATGGTGAAATTTCCACAATCCAAAGCAGGGAACGGTGTATCCTATAGGGCAATTACTCTTGGATTCCCATAAACGGATACTTATTTTAATCATCTTACAGGATGATGAGCTGCATTGATCATGACCATAGTTTGGACTTGCAACTTTTCGATTGTCAATGGAGTACTTCACCGGTGGATCGCCCTGTGAAAGATAAATTTAAGACATCGTTGTTGGTTATGTATTTTTATTTTTTCATAGGTTATTATAAACCTTTCTTACAACAAAATAAAAATCCTAAAATACAATTGGCAAGCGGCAGTCTGGAGAGATGAAAATATCGATTTAGACTTGCGAAAAAAATACGTGAAGTTTATTTCCAGCAAAATTAACAATGCCAATTCAATATCTGTAGAGTGAGAGGGTGGGCACATTGTGGAATCATTTGTATTTACGCCTCACTTTGAGTGTTGGTTGTTAATGCAAAAACAACCAAGTATGGAGGCATTGATATAGCGACTGGGCCATTAAACAAAGTAAAATGTGTGTTCGGGACCTCCAAAACTGGCTTCTGAGAATCAACTGTATAGTGAGTTCTGACAATGAAAGATGGGGGTCATTTTGGGTTATTCTGTAGATTTTAGTTTCAGCATGTAATAAATGTCTTAAGTTGTGATAGTATAGAAAAAATAATAGATCACGACGTTTCGATCGCAACAACAAGCGACCGTCTTCTACCTACGAGACTTTACCGGAAGAACCAAAGAGTATGGATTCCTGCAGTCACGAAAGCTTCAAATCAAGATTGTGATAGAATGTCTGGACAGTTGTACCCTCGCACTCAGAAATTATGATTCTAGTCTTTAAATGCAAGCACGTGCAGAAGAAACTCGGCATTGCATTGAAGGAATGAGTGTGCAACTTGGAAGTGTCCAATTTCGATGTGGCAGCAAAGTGCGGTAGATGTAAATCAGGAAGTTGAGGTGGCAATGGGTTGTGCATGCATGCAAGATGAAGGAGGGCAAGCATTGGAGTGGCACCCAGAGGTCAGGTTTTTGGCAGATGGGTGGATATTTTTAAGAGCAGACCTTGGATATTGGGTAGCAGCTACGCATCAGTTTCAGGAGTTAGCAGCAGAAAGGATCTGATGGTGAGTGTGTCGGTGGCATCAGCGGCCTTGGCCTTGATGTTGAATCACTAGAAAGTGTTGAAATGTGTTATGATGTTTTTTTGTCATAAATAGTTGGTTTAGACTTCACGAATATGGCAACCGATTGAAGCAAATTAGAAGTCTATTCACAAACCTACATTGTTAAGCCCATGAGAGAATAATCACATTTGCATAAGCCTTGTGACTTTTGATTAGCATATTCCAAGTGGAATAGTCAATCATGTTTTGTTTTTCAATGAAGGGATGACACATTATAACATTCTTATCTCTGCATGAAAATAACCTTTACTTAGCTCATTTACTTTCAGAAAACCTTTATCTCTTGTGAGCTCGTTGTATTTTCAAACCGAATGAACTGTATATACATATATATTTTCATGGTAAGTAACTAGACATGAGCTCAAAGCATACAGGAAGTTTTTAACAATGTTGTAGTCAGGCTGCCTTGTGCTTTTTTTGTTGTAATCAGGAGTATTGTTTCCCAGTTAGTATTGCACATATCAGACTTTGCACACAAGTCGGTTTAACGAACATAAGCTTGTCGGTCAAAATGCCTCCTGAGTTGGTGGAATGAATTCAACATTCCTATGAAGGGGGGATAGTATCTGCAAAGGGTGGCTGTTGTCTTTCCCCAAAGTGGTATATTAAGTAACCCCACAGGGCCGAGGTGACCGCTGACCAGGACTGGAACTCCACAAACCTTCCAGTTTTGAGTCCATATATTTACAGCACGGCCTCTTCGCGTTGATGAAGCCTTGAGCAGAATGTATGTGAAAGGCCATTCGAGAGAAATTGTCAATTGGAGCGAACGTTGACCACCGCAGCCGATAACAACTAACCTTCATTATTCTGAGATGTTAGCACGGCAAGGGAAGGGATGCATGCTGGCAATTCCTTCTCAGCCCCCCTCCCCTCCCTCCCCTCTTGAAGAGTGGCCCATCTCTCCTTTGACGACTATAGTGGACATTTGGAGTGTTAATTGGTGCCACTCAAAGCTGAGTGGAAGTCCCCCTTTCTGTGTGGACCGTTGCAATGATAGATTTACAGTTTGCGGTTGTGGCTGCTTTTTTTTTACCTCCACATATTGTGGTGTGAGAATGTAGGATGTGCTTGTTACGGATGGCCAAATCGGCACTCGTGGATTATGGAGTTGTCCGTTGTGTGATTGGTCGCGCAGCTTTCCAGCGGAGCCTGAGTATTCCCAACACTGGAAAACCGCCAAGGAAGCCTCTGGGTCGGACACCCATGAACAGGTTCGTACTGCAGTAGTAGCCTCGTAATTCTCTCCCATTCGTGGATGAGTGTGTCGAAAATACCGGATAAGTACCTTATTTACTGAGGTGTCAAACGCTGCATCCCGTAAACTTTATGAATGGTAATGATTTTTTTTTTAATACTGTACGACCATAATTAATTAATGGACAAAAAAATGGTCTTTAGTCAAATTGTCTTCCTGCTATAGTAAGCAATGGATATATTACCTTGTGCATTCCGACCCTGAGACTGATGATAATTGAACATTACGATTGCAAAACCAGTCTCCATTTTATTGAGCTTGGAGGGACGATGAGCTCAGTTGATGGAAGAAAGATGTTTTTTCAGCCAATCCCCAATGGGGATTTGGTTGAATTTTAAAACTTGCAAACGTCTAAATTTTGACTTAAAACTTTCGTGACTTCAGGAATTCATATTATTTGTTTCTTTCGGTAAAGTCACGTAGATTAAAAACAAAAAAACCCACGACGTTTCGATCGCAACACAAGCGGTCGTCATCACCGAAAAAACCAAAGAATTCCAATCGTCTATGAAGCACTGTAATCAAAATGTCACCGAACTGGAATCGGTCGTAAACATTTGAATGTTTAATTTTTTGCATGTTCTTCATACTCTTCCTTTCTCATGCATTCCTGTCACTCTTTGATCCTTTCACGTTCCATTTCTCTTCCTTTGACATTTCTCTCACTGTGTCTGCTATCTGAATTTACCTGCTGCTCCATTTTTTTAATCCCTTTACCTTGTGCTCACGTTAATCAGCCGTGGCAAACCAGGCTCCTTGTGTCGAAGCTTGAGCCACACCGCTGCATTAGCAGCCACAAACGACGCAGTCTCCCCGGCGACATCATCCCCGGCTGCGGCGGTCCCGGGCGGCAGCGACAGGGCCAACTTGGAGAAGGTCGGCGGCGGTGGCGGCAGATGCGGCGCTCCCCGCCTCCGGGATGGCATGCAGGTGTTGGTGGCAGGCACGGGCGAGATGGGCACAGTGCGCTTTGTGGGCGAGGTGGGCTTTGCGGCGGGCACGTGGTTGGGCCTGGAACTGAGGGCGCCACGCGGAAAGCACGACGGTGCCGTGGGCGGCCAGCGCTACTTCAGCTGCCGGCCGGGCTGTGGCATCATGGTGCGGCCGGGTCGTGTCTCCTACCGCGGCATCAACGGCGCCCGGCTGCTTGGCGAGGCACTGCTCGGCTGAAGTGCCCTGCCAGGGTCGGCACGTTTGCCGTTCAAGTCCACAGTGTGCCTGTTGGATGTTTGTTGCATTTGTTTGGGTGGTCTTTCATGAGGACTATAGTTGTGTGGGCTGTGTGGCACGTCAAAGTGTCCATCGGCTGAAATGAATAGAGACACTGGTACTCTCTCAGTTGGTGGCTGTAGCCTGGTGGAAAATCCAAATTCCCATGGCAAGCGACATTATCACCATGGCACAACCACTGTTGACCTCACAAAAGTGTTGCTCACCTTTATCAATCGCTTAAGGATAATGAGCTGAAGCAACGCCTGGCTCGGATTTGAACTCGTGACCTTCCGATTTGAAGTCGAGCACTTTGACTTAGACACTGAAATTACATGTTCTGATATCAGGGGATTGTAAAGTAAAAATAATAATTTTAACCATTTGAATATAATAGTTTTAATATATGGAAATATGAATGTTGCTACAGCCGCCAATTGTTCTGTGCTGCCTTTTTTTGTTAACCATTTATGCACTTTTTAAATGTAAATAACCGCTGCTGGGTTTTAGATGCTGTAAAAGGAGAATATTTTATTTGGCAGGTATCAATGCACAGAGTAGTTACATATTACAAGATAAATGTATAGTGTCTCTATGCACACATCTCATCACTGGTAGTGCTGGGAATGTGATGGAAATTCCACATTCCCATGGTAGAAACCAGTCTCTCCATAGGAAATATCCTATGTATTGCAACAACCCGAACAAATATATTTTTTAATCGGTACCATGACATAGGGTGAATTAATGGGATGAAGTAGAAATTAATTATAAAGAATTAAAAGTACTTTAGACTATAGAAGGCACTTGGGAATATTTCAGATTCATAAAACGCAGATTTGTGAACGATTTCAATGTCTGCAATTGCATCATTTCCCAACACTTGCTGACAATATTTTCATCACCCATGCAGTATTGGAGTGTAACGGGGTTGCGAGCGACACGTCACTCTAATCGATGTTACGAATCTCCACTCAACATGAATGTAATCTTTTGGTTTTATTGTCACTTTATAACAGTCATGGGCTCTCGCTCCTCTGTGGATTGTGCAAGTTGTGTGTGCGGATCGATGGGCTTGTATTTTTCTGCCAGTTATTTTCTCAGTTGCCTTAATTGCTTTTGTTTGATTTGCCCCATTTTAATCTTTGTGTCGCGGCGGTATTTGTAAAGATTATTGAGAAACCAGTATTGCAGTGCTTTATAAATGGCATTTTTTTTAATCTTTAAATTGTGAAATTACGAAAAGGATTTACCAGTAGCCCTGTTTCACTGGGTAGTCAGATTACTGTGATGTATATAGCACAGGATAATTTTAATGTCATTGTATTTTATTTGAAAATAATTGGGGGGAAGTGACAATGAACAAAGTATATTTTCTAGGATCCTGTATTTATCACACTACAAAACCTGCGATCAAAAGGTTTATAACGAGTATGGAGTCTTACATTGCTTCTAAAGCCTCAAATAATTTGTAAATGGGTTTCGAAAAAGTCACCCGCCAACACTGGACCAGTGGCCATTCTCTCTGTGGCACTCTCAGTTGAAGTTCATCTTGAGCACACACCGCTGGCGTCCAATTTGAACATGGGGATGTGCCTTTAACAGTGTCCATGTTTATTTCCTGAAATGAGATAGAGCATTGGATTAATGTTATGTTAATGTCGGGGTGCTTAATCAAGCGTCGAAAAAATATTGGGGTTGATTGCCAGGCTGCCTCCTGAGATTTACCAAATTCTAGCTTTAACTATTTGTTGGCATTGGCAACGATTTACCATTGACTGTGTGGGAATTACCACATTGCTAAGCACACCAACTTCATCCATTGTTATACGATCACTAGAGCAGAGGCATATCATTTGAGGATTACTGCACGGCACTTGCGCAGAAGAAATGGCCAAGATGTGTCTGTTGTTTCATTGGGACACGTACGTACGTACGTTTGTTGAACTTCTTTCGCATCGTACGTAGCCAACCGTGCTAATCGGAGGTGCAACACGGGATACTGTTGATCTCCATTGGCATCCCTGCGAGCCAGCAGTGGAAATGTCCCGTTTCCATTTTAGGGGCCCCCTATTTCACCACAAGAAGCCTGCTGAGGGATGTTGGGCTGAGTCAACCCCTTAACCAGGGTGTTGACCCAAAGTCTGTGAATTGTGTGAGTAGAGTACCCTCACCAAAGTGCCACCCAGTGTGTATGTACACATTTGTATTTATCGTTCCTGTCAGCGTGAATAATACGTACATGGTTACCCACGAGTTAGACTGTTCTTCACCGTGGAAATATGTAATTTCGACCACTGGCTTCTTATGGGGATGGGCACTGCCAACATAAATGACTACTGCAACATAACTCAAAGTGAGCAGGTAAACACTTGAACTTTTACAAATGTATGATTGTAGTATTATGTATATGCATTTTAATATCATGCACATGTGTGTTAGTGCGTTTATTACTTTATTACTTTAGACCTGAACTATGTATATTTGTATGAATGTGTGTTAACAGAAGTGTTGTCATTGCTCACCTTTGTGCCACATGATCTGTTGTCAGTTACATGTGAAGTATTGGAATTGACGGCAGGAACTTCTTGACGGGAACACACTTTTATTAAATCTTTACGTGTCACAATACAACGTGTGGTCTCCCTTCTTCCGACTACACACTCCACTAATCTCGTGTAAACTCTAGGCCTCTGGCTACACACGATACACTTCACTCGTGTAGACCCTATGCCTCTGGCTACACAATACACTCGACTCGTGTAGACCCTATGTCCCTGGCTACACACAATGCATTCGGCTCGTGTAGACCTTATGCCTATGGCTACCCAATACACTCGACTCGTGTAGACCCTATGTCCCTGGCTACACACAATGCATTCGGCTCGTGTAGACCTTATGCCTATGGCTACACACACTACACTCGCCTCTGGGTTACACAGAGTCCCGGTCCCGTTAGGACAGCGGGACTAGGTACCGCAGGGCCCTAGGTCTTCATCCCCGTCTTCATTCTTCGCTGGTTACACACTGCCCTTACGCCTGTGTGCATCCCCTTTTATAGCCCCTGCTCACGAGAGACGGAGCTGATGCAGACGTCGACGTGAGCATCGTTCCTTAGTGAACCAATCACGACGCACTCTACGATCCGTTTTCCCCAGCGCGTGTTAACACTCCTCCTCCAATCACACCGCGCTGCCACCTGATCACTCCCTCTCAGCGCGTCACCGGCCCACAGCCAATCAGTACCCCGTAACCCACGACCCCGCGCTGACCCCTGATCCTCCACCGTCAGCGCGCGTCACCACCTACACAGCCAATCATTACGCGCTGGCATACGATCCCTAATCCCAGCGCGTATCACCACTACATCACCCCCTCCCACATAGCTTGCAGCCGGCCCGGCTGTTAACCAACAACACAACCTAACGTCAACGCAGTAATAAAGAAACTCCACCTCTCAGTGTGCCCCGTAACGCAACAACAACAACACAACACAACACTTAAATACGAAGCAATATACAGCCCGACGAACAATACAGTAAAAGCGAACACCGTAAAACGAACACGCCAAGTGTCACTCTGACTAAACGCAGTGCCGAGGCGCTCCGGCTGCCTCGACTCCTCACGTGGTAGGTCACACAAAGTAGCGCGACCTAGCGCGAGTCCGTCTGGCCGGTCCGTCGTATGGGACGGGACGTTGGCGACCGTCCGGTGGCTCCGGCAGCTCTAGACGGCGTGGATCGGGCCTGGAAGGACCGGCCCCGCCGTGAAGATCCGGCCGCCGGTGGTCGGCAGCTGTCAGTTCCGAGACACCTGGGAGCGGATCAGGCGGAGACATGTGAGGAGCAGGCAAAGACAATTCCCCCTCAGGGCCGTCGGTCACGTCACATGCTCGGCCCTCACGACACAAGGGGAGGCCATACGGAGGCGAGAACGGTTTCAGTCGGGAGGGGTGGACGTACCAACGGCGTTTTCCCCATTTTATCTGAACGCACTGGGGGCGTGCAACCCGCACGACCTCCACGGGTCCCCGCCACGGCTTCAACAATTTAGGCGACGTAGCCAAAGGTGCCTGAGGGCAATGCAGCCAGGCCCTGTCACCTGGTTCCCAATTGTGCACGGACACCTTCCGTGCCCGCAACCGCTCGTTTGCAATTTGGCGAGCCCGCGAATTAAGCCGTGCGGCCTCTCTTGCCTCTGTCAGCTTATGAATATTAAATTTAATATGCTCTGCCAATTTCGAATTAGTTCGTGGTGCGGGCAGACCCAGCTGCGTTTCCATGGGCGGGTCGGCTTCCCGACCGTACATTAGATAAAACGGGGAAAATCCCGTTGCTGCATGGGGGGCCATTCTATACGCGGCGAGGACCCCAGGGACCTGCAGGTCCCAATCAACATGTGCCTCACACACCTGCTGGCACAGCATAGAAGTCAATGTCCTGTTAAGCCTCTCCACCGTCCCGTCCGTCTGCGGGTGGTACGGGGAGGTACGCACCTTCTTGGTACCCAACAGGTCGCACACCTCTTGCAGTAATTTACTCGAAAAATGTTTCCCTTGGTCGGTCAGCAAGCGTTCGGGAGCCCCCTTGTCCAGGACGTAGCCCTGGACAAAGGCGTCCGTCACAGCCGCCGCCGACTGGTTGGCGAGTGGCCACGCCATAGGCCACCGGGTAAAATATTCGACCCCCACCAACAGGTACTTATTACCCCTAGGCGTGACTGGAAAAGGCCCCAGAATATCGAGCGCAACGAGCTCGTTGGTGCGCGAGACCTGAATAGATTGCAGCAGTGGATTAGCTGCCACGGGCGGTGGTTTCCGTCTGGCGCACTCAACACAACCCTTCAGAATATTCACCACGTCACTCCCCATTCCCGGCCAATAATAGTCACGCTGAAGCAGGGCAAGCGTTTTGTTAACTCCCAAATGCAAGAGGCGTTCGTGTGCGGCCAGTACAATTTTCTCCTTCACAGCAGAAGGCACCACAATCGCGTGCCGCCGGGACAAACTATCCCATCTCATTAACAGGCCTTGCTTAAGTACGTAGGAGCCAGTTCGTTCATGGTCACCTTCGGAACCCCCCGTCCTTCGGCGCAATGCTAGCAGAGAGCTGTCCGCCATTTGGAGACGGCCCCACTCAATCAGCGACAATGAGAGCAGCGAGTCCTGACCCCCTGGGGTAGCAGGAACATCCCCAATTGGTGTGCCCGCGGTCGCAACCAACGCCCCCATACCTTCCGTAACTGGCGGTTTACAGCGCGCCGATCCCGATAAGCACGCACATTTGTGACAAGGCAACAATCGCGACAGAGCATCGGCATTTGTGTGTCGCGCGCACAGCGAATCGACCCATTCGAGGTCCTCCTTCGGATTAACGTTTCGCGTGGGGCTCGGATCAGCCTGCGCAACCAGCCGCTCTTCCGCAGGGACCCGTGCCGCGTGAGCTAGCACGGTGCCCTGCTGAATGACGGCCGGCCGCGACCCAGCGTTTAAACCCATGACAACCGGATCCCTGTCAGCCCCAACCAAAGTGTGAGCCACCGACAAATCGAGACCTCCAACAGCCCTATTAGAAGGACCCAAGAGCGTGCCTTGATCCGAGGTCCCCCTCACCCATGGTTTCCGCAACCGGAGGGGAATTAACATTTGTGAACCCGGGGGCACATGCACGGTCTGTGTTGCCAACGCTTGTATCGTAGCGCACGCCGTCCGAATTTCAGTAGGGTTCGTCAAAAATGAAATACGGCGACCCGATGGTAGTTCAATGCAACGCTGATCAATGAGAATTTTGATGGGCATTTTTGCCAAAAAATCAGTGCCCAATAGACAAGGAACCGCCAGGGAGGACGAAACGAAAACGGGTCCCGACAATTTGATATCCCCAATGCAAATAGACGCCCTAATCTGACCGATAATGCCCAACGATCCCCCATTAGCGGCATAAAATGGCACATCCACTGGAAGCAGCGGACGACATTGTACAGGGAGAATGTTGTAAATGAGATCCGATATAATAGTCGCCGATGCCCCCGTGTCCACTAACACCCTGACCTCGACCCCATCAATAGATCCCGTAACGACGGATGAACCTGCTCTGGCAGCCACTATTCTGTGCCCCAACTCCGACCATTTAATGTCTCCCCGGACCCGGCCGAACCCCCCTCGCCGAACCGAATCCCCGAACCCTAACCGGCTCTCCTCCGCCGCAACACGACGGACCATGCGTGTCGAGTATGCGGGCCGAGCATGTGAGGTGCCGCGACTCGCCGGGGTTTGTAGGGATGACTTGGGGCCTTGTTCGTCGTCCAGCCGAGGACCCATGGCGCGCTGACGTGGGGCGCGGCAGCCGGACGCCACGTGGCCCCGGAGGCCGCAGTTATAACACGTGATGAGGGTCGTCGGAGATCTCGGTTGCTCCAGCTTGCGGGCCGATCGCAGAGGCGAACGACCCCCCGACCTCCAGTCCCCCGGTCGTCCCGCGGTGAACGCCTCCTCTCGTGGGCTGACGACTTGGGGTTCGGTGACTACCGGGCCCGGAGCCGAGGCCACGGCAGCGTTGCAGACGACCACCTGTTTACGTTGAAGGACCTCGTGCGCTTGTATACTTGTAGCGACCCGCAAGGAAGAAATATCGATCTCGTCGGCCGTGTTGATGGGGACCCCCAGGTCCTGCGCCAACTTGAGCAGTTGCTCCAAAACCATCGCATCTTTGCCCTCCTCGTCCATACGAGGGAACGCGGCGTCGGCGAGAGCCAGCAACGCCGTGCGATAGGCGAGCACGGTCTCCGTGTCCGCCTTCCGCCTTGCATAAAAATGATGGCGACACGCCGAGGGAGGACCGTAGACCTTGGCCATGAGAGCCAGCGCATCCTTGAGCGTGGAGCGGTCCGATCTGCGTGCGGACGTGAAGGCCGCGAGCGCGTTGTCGTCCAGCAAGGCAGGCAGTGCCCGCAGCGCCGTAGCGTCGGACCAGGCGGACATCTCCTGATGCGCCAAAAACCTGCGCTGAAATTGGCCCCAGTCCCCGCCTTCCGCCTTGAAGGCTGACAATGTGGGAAGGCGCTGTTGAAAGATGAAGTCGTCCTCCGCCTCGTGGTTCCTCACCGCCGCCCTGTCGGTGTGTAAGATGGCGGCCCCAGTGGCGGGTGTCTGATGGCGGTCCGCAGCGCGCGTTGGTGACGTAAGCGGGCGCGCTTGGAGAACCGCTGCCACGTGGTGATGGCCGTTCCCGCCAAAAGTCGGCGCAGATGAAATGGCGGGAATCGCCAAGTCATTTTGGCGGTAAACTGCGGGGCGATCCTGTAGAATGTCCGCCGCCGTCCCCGCTCCTCCCGACGAGCTGATCTCCGCCAGGATGGACGCGGCGGCGAGCAGCAGCTCCGCCAGACGGGAGTGCGCCTCGCGGAGCACGGCATCGGTCCCCCGTCGCTCGTCCGGCGCCGTCGGCGGATCCTGCAGCGTGGGCAATTCTTCGTCCTCACCCCCCGATGCCAGCTGGCCCGAGTCGTCAAGGTTGTCCCTGCGGTCAATCCCGTGGGTCCGACGGGTCTTCCTTGTATCCATGCTTGGAAGACCGTTTCACTTCTGACGCCAGTTGAAGTATTGGAATTGACGGCAGGAACTTC